GCCTTCAAGTGGTCATCCTCCCAAGTACTTACCAGGCCCGACATTGGGTGTCTGCGGGAATCGGACGACACCCGGATTTTTAATAAAACAAGGTGGACTGAACGATGGCGCTACGATAAAAGTTTGTTTGTTTGTTTGTTATGGATTTCGCGCAAAGCTAAACGAGGGTTATCTGCGCAGATTACGAGTTGAACGCCCTAGCCACCTGGCCATGCCGGGCCTTCTCGCAAAGCTATTCGAAGGCTATTTGCGCTAGCCGTCCCTAATTTAGCAATGTAAGACTAGAGGAAAGGCAGCTAGTCATCACCACCCACCGCCAACTCTTGGGCTACCTTTTTACCAACTAATAGTGGGATTGACCGTCACTCGCAGATTGCGAGTCGAGCGCCCTAACCACCTGACCATGCCGGGCTCAGCGATAAAAGAAAAGACAGAATGTTAGCATCAACAAAGGTGGGTGGCCAAAATGGTTGAAGTAGCCTATTGCATGAAAAAAACAACAAATGGAAAACATATTTTAGAATTATAAGCAACTTTCAAAATAGTATCCGCTATAGATCGAAGGAAACAATATTAGTTTTTATTACAAATTATATAAGTATAGTCTGTACAGTAGTAAAAACAGCTAACATAAGTTTTGTATTTTAAGACCGTTTGTTTGCTTGTAATTAAGCACAAAGCTACACAATGGGCTATCTGTGCTCTGCCCACCACTGGTATCGAAACCCCGATTCTAGCGTTGTAAGTCCACTGGGGGGCATATTTTAAGAAAACTATGCCATTATAAATCAAAACACAATTTTAAAGGTTTTCTTGCCAACTTCGATCAGCCCAATGATTTTCCAATACTTATTTGTTGTTGTTTCCGTCACTTTTAGAATTGGACAACTGTATTAATTCCACTGTCTGTTTAATTGAAATATTTTCTAAACTCATTGGTTGGGCGAGCCCTAGTGATTACTATCCTAATCCGAGGTTTCATGGTTCGCGGCAGCTAGTCACAATTTTTCTCCACCAGTTTAAGGTCTACTTGTATCTGATCGAATAGTGAGATTTGATCGTTAGTCTTATAGCGCACCTAAGACCCAAAGGTGCGAAACCCCTGTTTTTTTGGATCAAAGTGATAAACATTAGAGGTTATAATATTTTGTTTGTTGTAGCTACGTAGGTGGTACTACGTGACTTTCTGCACAGAAGGCTAGTGTTCATTATTCATTTTCACGTATTTCAAACATAGATGATTGGGTTACCATTTGAATTACGAAGATCACTGTAGGCTGGAGGTTAGAAATCAAACTTCAGTTCAAGATATGCTATCGTTAGCTAACGTAACAACTTCCAGCTTTCTCACAGCCAAATACTTACTTTTATCGTACTTAGAATTCAAAGGTTAAGCAGCCAAGAATACAGTGTAAAAATACGAGGTATCTAAATGACACGTTGATTAGCAGCTCACCAGTGCTTAGAGGAAAACTCGACATACAGGGGTGGGAGGTGTGTTTATTTTGTTTCAGAATTTCCGTGTAAAGCTTCATAAAGGACTGTTTGTGCATAGCCGTCCATATTTTTAAGCTGATACACCAGAGGGAAGGGCCGGGCCCATTTAGCAGTGTAAGACTAGAGGGAAGGCAACTAGTCATCAACACCCACCGCCAACTCTTGGGCTACTCTTTTACCAACGAATAGTGGGATTGACCGTAACATTATAATGATAACACAGACACAACACGATGTGGGAAGATTCATATCTCCCTGTCACGTGTCTGACCACATATACCACAACTCAGACGTCTTACATTAAACATTGGTAAACACCGTATTATATGGTCAGGTGGTTAAAGCGCTCGACTCGCAATCTGAGGGTCGCGGGTTCGAATCCCTGTCACACCAAACATGCTCGCCCTTCAGCCGTGAGGGCGTTATAATCAGCGCCACAACACATATTTACGTACTTGTATATTATACAATAATAGTAAGTTAAAGACCGGTTTGGTTTGTTTTGAATTTCGTGCAAAGCTACATGAGGGCTATCTGTGTTAACCGTCCCTAATTTAGCAGTGTAAGACTAGAGAGAAGACAGCTAGTCATCACCACCCACCGCTAACTCTTGGGCTACTCTTTTACCAACGAATAGTGGGATTGACCGTCACATTATAACGCCCCCACGGCTGAAAGGGCGAGCATGTTTGGTGTGACGGGTATTCGAACCCGCAGATTGCGAGTCGAGCTCCCTAACCTCATGGCCATGCCGGGCCATAACTGTAATGGTTATTTAGAACACTATCTGTTGGAAAAGAACTCCAGCAGCAAGATAAGAAAATGTTTGTAATTAAGTACAAAGTTACACAATGGGCTACCTGTGCTCTGCCTATCACAGTTTCAAGTCAGTAGACATATCGCTGTGCCACTGGAGGAGGGGATGGAGGGTGATGATGTAGTACTAATTGTTGAGTAAAACATTGTTTGAATACTTCTTATTTGTAATCTAAGTATACAAATAGTATACATTCAGAAAATTTCGTTAAATTTCTATCGAGAAAGAACTTGAATCTTCATACAGTATACGAGTTAGTACTGCCATCTGGTGATGAAGGGCCAGTCAAGTGACGGAGAAGCTCCTGACTCAAAAAGAAAGAAAAAAGTACACGATGATAATGGAAAAGGGGCACAATACTAAAAAAGCAGGAAAAAATCAACCCCTTTATTTAGAGATTTGGTTTCCAAAAACGAACTTGAAACCTGAGTGCTTGTTGTTATGGCTTGTGTGGAAGTAGACATTTCTGTTTAAAAGGAATAACTTTTTAACAGCTGTTTGGTATGTTTTACCTAAAGATATAGCCATGAGCTGGTGAACTACTCTATGTATGAAACATGTTTAATTATTCAGAGAAGTTGACAAAAAATTTACTTACAAAGTATACTATCATTATAGTGGTACCAGTTTCTGGTCTGCCTCTGATTTTACGTCAGTTCCCATCTAGATATTACAGGAATAATGCTCTTATTTACAATTCCCGTCAATACAGTCCATTTTAAATATCGACCAACGTTCATCACGATCTTTCCGTGGGAACGAGGCTAACTACGTCCTTTCTAGGGTCAATGGTCACATCACATGTGTGGAAACTTCTGTTATTCTTAAGTCCACGAGACAAGAAACTCAACCACTACCTTTGAAGTTATGAATCAGACACATCTCTTTAGTTTTAAATTTGGTTAAAAAAGAATATACACATAGTTGCATGATTTTAACAGACCCTGTCACAACTTCGAGAATTGAGCTGACATAACTAAACGGAGTGTGACGAAGAAAAATGTGGCACCAGTCAGCAACACCCACCGTCTGAGCGGGTAGTCTTAATGGAATAGGTGGATTGGCTGTCACGCTTTCAATGTTTTCAGAACTAGAAGTCCAGAACCTGTTCAGTGACACATATTTTCTCGAACCATAGGCCTTTCGATCCTCAGCCCAGCACGATAATTACTGGGCCACGTCTGCCCGTCGGCATAATAGATATTATTAGGCAGAGTTTGGGAGAGAAACTACAAAGACGTACACCGTGAAAATTAATTAAAACGTAAAATAAAATCAATAAGGTCAGTGCGTCAACGTTTATTGTACTAAACTGAAGTTCGTGTTTTACCAGAACTCTCAAAGAGTTAAGGTTATAAAGCGATATGATGTAATGGGTGTAAGAGAGTGCGTGTTCGGATCCACATAAAGAATAGTAAAGTCTTCAAGGAGAGTTGAAACCTTGTCAACCTTTAAGACTTGACCTTAATCACTGTTCAAAAAAAGAAATATAACGCTACCAGAAAACTTACCATTTATCTACAGAGTGAAAGAAGTCTGTTCGAAAGACGAAATCTAACGCTAACAGAAAACTCACCATTTATCTACAGAGTGAAAGAAGTCTGTTCGAAAGACGAAATCTAACGCTAACAGAAAACTCACCATTTATCTACAGAGTGAAAGAAGTCTGTTCGAAAGACGAAATCTAACGCTACCAGAAAACTCACCATTTATCTACAGGTGAAAGAAGTCTGTTCGAAAGACGAAATCTAACGCTACCAGAAAACTCACCATTTATCTACAGAGTGAAAGAAGTCTGTTCGAAAGACGAAATATAACGCTACCAGAAAACTCACCATTTATCTACAGTGTTAAAGAAGTCTGTTCGAAAGGCGAAATCTAACGCTACCAGAAAACTCACCATTTATTTACAGAGTGAAAGAAGTCTGTTTGAAAGACGAAATCTAACGCTACCAGAAAACTCACCATTTATCTACAGAGTGAAAGAAGTCTGTTCGAAAGACGAAATCTAACGCTACCAGAAAACTCACCATTTATCTACAGGTGAAAGAAGTCTGTTCGAAAGACGAAATCTAACGCTACAGAAAACTCACCATTTATCTACAGAGTGAAAGCAGTTATGAGAAAGCAGAGGAACGGAGAATAGTGAGGGTCGGTTCTTGCGTACAAGTCTCCCACGTCCAAAGGTTCAGGAGGTGGTGAGGCAATCTGTGTAATTATAGTAAACGCCCTGTAAACATGCTAACACTAATATGTTATACAGCATTAATAACTAAGTTTTAAGTCCCCTGTGAAGTAACGTTTTTAATTAGTTTATTTATCATCAGACTTTCTCACTCTTACTGAAACAAAGAATCACGGAAATCAAAGTAAGGCTATTTCCTTTATTTCTTCACACAAGTTTTGTTCGTCTGTTTCATTTATTTCTTTCGTCTTTCATCAGTTTCTGTGTTCCCATCTTCTCCTTACTGTTAATAGAGCGACCTCTGTTGACATTTGGTGTGAATGAGAATATCCACCCGAACTTGTGAAATCCTTTACTCTATAAACGATGTCTTGTTATGTTTACAGATCAAATCACGTGAGAAATATCTGTTCCCACTGTCTATAAAGGTTGTACCTAGACTATTTGATCATTCGGTTGAGTCGAAGTATGGTTTCACATTTAACTTGAAGGAACAACAAGAGAACAAGGAGATCATGAAACTGTTGATATTTGGATTATTTCATTACATCGTCGCATGGACATCCCTAGCATGTAAGTTATTTTCACTTTATGTTTAAAATTTCAAAATATTATCAGCAAACATTATTTTCAATCATTTAAGTAGATAACGTTGCGAAGGGGTTATTAATATACATTATTTTTAAGTAGGTAACGTTGTGAATGGGTTATTAATATACACTATTTTTTAAGTAGATAACGTTGCGAAGGGGTTATTAATATACATTATTTTTAAGTAGGTAACCTTGCGAATGGGTTATTAATAT